AGTCTTCGAGGCGTTGTGTCGAGTAGAGGAGGGGGCGTTTCCTGCGAAGCGCTTATCGAGGCTTGATTCATTTAGGGGAGGAGCTGAAAGTGATGACGTCCGAAGCCTCGCTGCCCGGCTGCACCACGTGACTGATTCAGGAAGTGGTTCGGGTTTTGCCGCGAGTTTTGACAGCGAAATAAACTGCTCAGTCTTCATTCAAAATGTGGGTGTTTGATGGAGAGTTGAGATCAGTGAGAGTTTGGAAGTTTGGAGACAGTTTAAACTCACAAAAAAAACAATTCTTATTTCTTAGGTAACAACCTGTGGCGTCGCCTGGATGACAGAGTCAGACACAAACACAAAATGTAACAGCAGACGCACATACTGAGGTCCAACGGTGCAGGATGGAGCCAAATACTGGAAGGCTGGAGGACAGAAATATGTCTATCCCCATTTATATAAATTAGCAGTGGCATTCTTGTGTCCGCCTGCCTCATCTGTGTCCTGTGAGTGTTTTCGAAAGCAGGAGAAATATTGTCAAAAAAAGAAATGGCCTGAGACCTGCCACAGTGGAGAAACTGTTGTTTTTAAATAAAAACCAATGATGTGTCCCTGAACCATAATCACCCAACGTTACAAAAGCACAATCACTGTCCAAACTCCAACCCCAACCCCCCTCACCTCACTGGAAATGATCATTAGCTTTTTCATAATTTCCAAATAATAATTTTCCATACTGCCAGTATATATATATAATATAAAATATATTATATATATTATTTATATTTATATATACACACACAGTATACATCACTACAATATACATGTTTTGCATACTTCTTTACTTTGCTGACAGTTTTATTCACAGGCTTTCTGCAAAATGCAACACACTTCAAATTCATGTCAACTGATATTTTTTGCATCCAGTAGACGTCCTGCTAGAGCAAATGAAGCTTCAGGAAGCTTTGCACCAGAGTGAAGCAACTGGATGAAAGGCTTCAATGCTTCATGAAGCTTCATCTGCCCATCACTAGTTAAAACAGGTATAGCAGTTACCTGCGCTCACACAGTACCTCCCCCTGAACAAGGTGAGGCTGGCTTCTTTTAAAGGCCCTGTCCTAATTGGGTGAGCCCACTTTAACGATCAGGTAAGCTCCACTAACCTGTACATTTAATATCTAAAAACAACTATCAAAACAGTGCCCAAACAACATCCAATTACATTAATTACAAAAATGTATATATCTTTATTTAAATTAGCAGTGTTCAATGCCCTAAAATACTAAATAGAACCAGTTAAAAAATTGTGCTCCCCTCCTCCAAACAACATGGTTGGCTGCTCCGGAACCTTCTTAAGGTGCTCTGGCTCCCCGGGGACTGTTTTGGCCGGAGCACCTGAGGCAGACCACACCAGAGGGTAAAGTACAATTACTTCAATTTAAATGCACTTTTACTTTTTCCCTTTTCTTTCTTTTTTTTTTTTTTAAATAACAGGTAACTTCAATCTGCACATAGATTTTCAATAAACATTTCTTAAACTTTGTTTCAGTTCCTCATTTTACCTTTTAACTAGGCCCAAGTAATGGACTGGCTACATTACAGAGATATTAACGATTCTTTCATAGGTCAAACTTGGAGTCGGCAGCTTCCAGGAAGATTTAAAAAAGCTCAAAAACGGCACAAAATGGAGTCAATCGTTTGTGCTTCGTTTGTGCTGCAAAAAGTTTGGTTTGTGTGATTGTGGTTCTTAAGATTTCATTTATTTCCAACGACAAGATCAGGAATCAAAATACACTAGACGGTTCGCAAAAACTCCAAAAGTGCAGGTTTGGGCACCGGCCAATTGTTTACTTTAGGATAATTTGTCAAGTCAAATGATCTCGCTGCAGGGACAAATAATTTCAACACTTTTGAGTCATTTTCTGATAAATTTAAGTGTTTATATCTTACATTTTGGCCAAGTTTTTTTTGCAGTGAGCTGATATTAAGGAGCAGTGTTGAGGAGTAACAGATTACATGTACCCGAGTAACTGTATTCAGTTACAGTTACTGTTTCAGTGAGTGGTAATTGGATTACAGTTACTTTGTTAAAATAAATGGATTACACAGAGGGATTTTACTGTTTTCACATTTTGGGCTACTCCCTTTTTTTTTTTTTTTTGGTAATTCCACTCATTGCCGGAAACTAAACCAGGTCTAAACCAGATCTAAACCAGGACTAAACCAGATCTAAACCAGGTCTAAACCAGTCTAAACTAGATCTAAACCAGGACTAAAACCAGGTCTAAACCAGATCTAAACTAGGTCTAAACCAGGTCTAAACTAGATCTAAACCAGGACTAAACCAGATCTAAACTAGATCTAAACCAGGACTAAAACCAGGTCTAAACCAGATCTAAACCAGGTCTAAACCAGGTCTAAACTAGATCTAAACCAGGTCTAAACCAGGTCTAAACTAGATCTAAACCAGGACTAAAACCAGGTCTAAACCAGATCTAAAAACAGATCTAAACCAGGATCTAAACCAGGACTAAAACCAGGTCTAAACCAGGTCTAAACCAGATCTAAACTAGATCTAAACCAGGACTAAACCAGATCTAAACTAGATCTAAACCAGGTCTAAACCAGGTCTAAATTAGATCTAAACCAGGACTAAACCAGGACTAAAACCAGGTCTAAACCAGATCTAAACCAGGACTAAACCAGATCTAAACTAGATCTAAACCAGGTCTAAACCAGGTCTAAACTAGATCTAAACCAGGACTAAACCAAGACTAAAACCAGGTCTAAACTAGATCTAAACCAGGTCTAAACCAGGTCTAAACTAGATCTAAACCAGGACTAAAACCAGGTCTAAACTAGATCTAAACCAGGACTAAAACCAGGTCTAAACTAGATCTAAACCAGGACTAAACCAGGTCTAAACTAGATCTAAACCAGGACTAAACCAGGTCTAAAACAGGATCTAACAGTATTTAACAGGACTAAATCCTGCTGGATGGACCATGTTTCTTCTTCTTCTATCAATAATATTTTTTAATTTGGTTCAGTAAAGTTTGGGATTTTTATTTTCTTTTAGCAGATAAAACAACTTTTGTTACGATTTCCTCGTCTTTGTTTCTCTACAGCAAATCAAGTAATCCAAAGTATTCAGATTACATTACTCACTTTAAGTCATTAATGGATTATGTTACAAACTACATTCTGGGGTGTGTAATCTGTAATCTGTAGGGGATTACATTTTAAAAGTCACCTTCCCAACACTGTTAAGGAGTAAGAAGATTACTAATAAATAAGTAAATATTAACCAAAGCTGTTTTCTCCTTGTTAACGATGTGTCACAGGCCTCAAGTCCGAGTCAAGTCCCAAGTCACTGACCTTCAAGTTCAAGCGAAGAGACAAACATTCTGTGTTGTCAACGATTCCCCAGATCGAGGATTTAAAGCCGGAACAAAGAGAATGTTTGGTGAATTTAATCAAGGGGAAAGACGTTATTGTTCTTCTTCCTACGGGATTTGGGGTTAATACACCAGTTAGACCAAAGTACCTGCCAACCAACGAGCAAACGAATATTAACACTGTGAAGTCAGACGGTTTCCACGAAGTGAAACCGGCTGATGAATCAGGCTAGATGACGCCATCCAGACAATCCAAATGTTAAATCGCTTCAGAACAGCAGAAAATTATACCAAATATTTGTGTTTCGTTTGTGCTATGACAATTTTCATTTGTGAGTTTATTTCTAAAATTGTTTATTATTTTTGCGGAAATTATATGATGTCATTTCTGCTCAGTTGAGGCCAGCGGCTTTAACAAAACTCCACAAGACTATTGAAGACGAACGACATGAGGTTGTGTAAAATTCTGTATTATTGTATAAAATATGAATCAAAAGCAATTTACTAAAGATCGTTCATATTCATTAGTTTTGTGGAATTTGCCTCCGTCAGCTGAGTGGAAATGACGTCATATAATTTTAGCAAAAATAATAATTCATAATTTTAGACATTTTAGAAATATACTCAAATGAAAATTGTCACATCACAAAACAGCACAAACGAAATACAAATGTTTCATTTTCTGCTGTTTTGAGGCTGTTTAACATTTTGAGGGGCTGGATGAATAATCTGATTCATCAGTTTCACTTCGTACAAACTGTGTGACCCGGCAGCATTAGGATTCGTTCACTCGACAGGAGGCGGGGACTTTTTTTAATTTAACAAATCGCTGTCATTTGGTCGAGACGTATGTAATGCGCCAAATCCCGTAGGAAGAAGGACAATAACGTCTTTCCCTTTGATAAAATTCACCAAACATTCTCTTTGTTCCGGAAATCGTTGTTAACACAGAATGTGTGTCTTCGTCTACATCTCGACGCTTTGTTTACTGTTGTTCTGTTGCACAAAAGGGACACAAACAGACGCCACCAGTTTGACGTCATGACTTCACAGCTCACAGCTGATTGGCTCGGTGTGTGATCTACAACTTGCAGGGTTTTTGCAAACTGTCTAGTGTTTTCTGATTCCTGATCTAGTCACTGGAGAGAAATTAAATTGAGCGGAGGCACTAGGTGGCGCCAGACTGATTACTGGATGACGTCATCGGCTGAAAATAAAACTGTTCATATTTTAAGAACCAAATCTGCACAAACAAAACTTTTTGCAGCACAAACTAAGCACAAAGGAATTGACAACATTCTGGGCGTTTTAGAGCATTTTGATGCTTCCCTGGGGCTGGTCGACCCCAATTTGACCTTTACAAGAATCATTAATATCTCCAAAACTAAAGCAACACAAACGATTGACATAGTTTTTTGTACACTCAGAAAAATGATTTGGCTGTGTACTTTACTAATGTATTTTGTTGTTTTTATTTACATATTTTGATTTTTGACACATTTTTGAAATGCTTGTGTAAATATCATGAAATACATTCAATATTTGGCTTACTCAAGGCTATTTGAAGGGATTACGGAAGCCTTAAATATAAGCAAGGTTTTGTCCTTCTGGTATTCCGTAGCTGACTTGCTTTGTTGCGCGCTCAAAATGTGAGCCAACACGCATGCGCAAAGTTTACCTGCCCTGAACATGGATCGGCCCTGAACCACGAGGTCTTCGGAGTTTTCGCTTGGATTTATTGGTAATTATTTTATTACTAATTAATAACTTTGAATGTACTTTACATCGTTACTTGTTCTGACATTTTGACTGTATGTAATATTCATGAATCGTCACAAGCATGTATTGGGCTCTAATGAATAGTTTGCGTACGTCCACCATTTTTTTTAAGTCTTTGTAAGACTTCTTGCCCTTGTTGTGTACCGACCGTTATTTTAGTAGATTCGTGGTACACACTCAGGCTGCTGCCTTTTGCATACGCGTACACTGGCGTGGGGGACAAGGTATGACAGCGGGGCGGACCCTTGGGTGTGGCCTGGGTGTGGCCGGAGGCGGCGGAGGGCTAGCACAATCGCCGGGGTGACGTGAGGACGGGACTGCGGAACTACGTGCTGTGTCCCGGTGACGAGGGGAGTTTGAAAATAAGGCAGTCTTCTACTACCGTGTCGTAAATGCTGTCGGTAGGCTTCGTGCATGCAGGGTCACTCCCGCAGTTATATTAGGGTTTTTCGAAATGAACTGCGCCTGTATTGTGGACGAGAGTGCGCGGCGGCAACAGGGGGAGGGGAAAGACGTCTGTAGTAAAGTCGGACAGTTTGTGGCTCAGATCACGTAGTTTTTATTTTAAGGGACAATGTAGAGACACATTAAGATCATAAAAACAAGTATGACTGCACCAGACTATAGCTAAGTAGCTTGTTTCTATCTGCAGTCCCTGATTTACAGGAATAAATTACACAGTGCAAGTATACATGTTAGTTAAAGATTTTGAGAATCCAGTTTCAGAAGGCAGTGCATGTAAAATAACAAGAGGATTACTTAAAATATTAAAAATGCTATTGAAAATTATGTGTCTTACACTTTGTCTTTATTTTCCACAGATGTCTTGATGTGGCAGTGTAAATTGTGCAGGAAAGTGGTGTCAACAAGGATGAATGATGAATTTGTGAAGACTGGAGCTCTTTTCATCCCGCCACCCAAGTTAAAAAGTGACATTATGCAAAGCTTGGCTTCTGAAATCCTTAGGTACAAACCATACCCTTCTGATTTGGAATTTGATGATGTTTGCAAAGCGCTCATTGGTAAATATCCATTTTTAAGAGAGTTGGGCTCAGAGACTGGCTATTCGACCTGGAAAATCACATTAAAGCAGAAGATGGGCAACTATCGAAGCAGCCTCAGAAATATGGGATGCAGTGAACTAAAGATAAATTCCCTTAAACGTAGAGGTGATGAAAATGTCCACCCAAATCAGGTAAAAAAGGCACGAAGAGCCGAAGTCAACTTTTGCCCAGATTATCCACCTGGTGAGAATAAAGAAAGTCAAGAGGAAGATAGAGTTGCCCTTCTCTCTGAAATCCAGAAAAGGAACAATGATGAACTGATTAAAACAAAGATGGAGAAAACTTTTCCATACAGGAGACAAGAGATTGTTCAAGACATGCCTTTTATTGCAGATTTCAAAAGTAGATGGCCTGCTCTCTTTTCACATCGAGAGGTATGCCATGTTGGCTTATAATGCTGTTGTCATTAAAACATGCCTCTCATACAAATTGCATGCTCACACAACAATCATAAAGTCTAATATGGTAGGAGAAGACAATATTGACACCAATTTTTGTACGCTAATAATTAAACTTAGAGGTTAAAGAGGCTCCTGAAGTTAGGGAACTAATTTTACTAAAAGACAGTTTAGATAATTACGACTTTTCTAAACATTTTACAAATTTTATCCCAGTTTGGCAATTTTTTACATTTATAATTTTACTTCCTGATTGTAAACGATGACATACTAGGAAATTACTATAGGGACCATGTTTTACACTGGGCCAAAACTCCTCTAATGTCAAATTTTTTAATTTGACAAAAATACATCAGAACACACTTACCTTTTTAAGGGAGAGAGTAAGACTTTTGAAACGCCACAAAGATTACAGGCTATATATCTTTATAATTTGGCTCTTGGGGCAGGGAAAAAATAACAAAAGAAAATGTTTTTAAATACATTTTTCTTTCACTGTCTTTTAGATAAATGCAGAGTTCAGACGAATCACCACAATGCCGTTGACCTCAAGGTTTATGTCACAGCTGGATCTTTACACTCCTAAACTGGTGAAAATCTTCAGAAAGAAGGGAGGAAAACCTGGACGCAAGATCACAGAAATTATGGCAGGAATTGATGAGGTTTGTCATTTTAAATTTACTTGTGAATGAATAATTTCACAACTCCCAAGTATACAGCAAGGGTCTCCAACCTGTCTCTCAGGAGCTACCACTAGCTCTCCAGTCCATGTGTCATTAGGTTTTCAATATAAAACCAAAAAGAAGAAAATGAAAAAAACAACAGTTTTCTTCATTAATTGTCTTTATTATTTTGAGACCGGAACTGAACCGTTTTCAGTCCCGGTCTCAGTCCTGGTTCAATCCGTATGCAGTGCAAATGTCCGGCATCACATTTTAAGTTACGGAAACGGGAAACTGCTGTTATCCATTTTTTCCATTCATTTTAAACACAAAATCGAAAACTGAAAAAATTAATCGCTATCCATTTTTTCATTTTGGTTTTAGAGTCAAATAATGAAGAAAACTGTTGTTTTTTCATTTTCTTATTTTTGGTTTTATATTGAAGAACAAATGATAGATGGATTCTCTCCACATACTGCATTGAATAATTCAAATTAGATTTATCACATGCCTATACATTTACAATGGTTATATTTTGGATGCTTAACTAAAGATGTTTGTATGTTTTCCCCATCTAAGGCTTATAATTGCCACTATACTTAGAATGTTTCTTGCAACTGCTAACAGGAGTAGCTCTCTGCTATTTTTGGTTCGTAAAAGTGGCTCTCTAGGAGAAAAAGGTTGGCGACCCCTGATAGACAGGGTAGTAAAATATAAAAAAAGTAGATATTTAAAATTTTACTGTAAAAAATTTATGTTAAGTTTAAATCACAATATAATTGGTATTGGATTTTTTTATATATATAAAATTGGTTTAACTTGGCACACATAGAATGAATAAAGTAATATTAAAGTATGAAAGCCTTACATATCCTGTTGTATGCCAGATTTATTATTTTTTATTTATTTATTTTAGAGAGACTCCATTGACACAAGGAGATGTTGTACCTTGAAGGCCCTTGCTGTTTATCTGAATGAAGACCCAAGCAACATCATAAAAGAATACGTGGTAAGTTTATTGTGTGAAATGTTAGTAATTGTATGGAAACTATTAGAATTTTACTTGCTTATTGTGAATGACTAATGGTTTTGGATTAATGTATGTGTGGGTGTAATGAATTATTTGTGTCCAGCACACTTGATTCATGTGTACAAGTTTGAAAATTTTAGTTTTTATATTATAGCTTTCTTTAGTGTTGCAGAAGACATTACTCACGCCAAACCTTTCCACAGGATTTAATACTTTTATACTTAAAATAGACACCAGTGCTGTCTTTGCAAGGGGAACGTGGATAGCCTTAACCCTATGAATTGGGGCCCTCTACAAACTCATGTCCATAGCTGCAACTAAAAATGCAATGTGTTGTTGGGTTTAATGTGCAGTGAGCAAATGCATAGGTTAACCAGTATCGTATTACTTCATAATGTCACAGGGAGGTAACATATTCATGCCATCAATGTTCATTAGGTCTAGTATACTATAAATTATTGTAATTTTTAATAACCACAATCTTTAACTCTACAATGCAGACTCTAGTAGATTATGTAAAAGGTATTTTATAACAAATATGGTCTCATTATTACTATTGTGGCCATACCAGCTTGTCAAAGCCTGATCCCGTCAGATCTCAGAAGCTCAGCAAGGCCGGGACTGGTTAGTACTTGGAAGACCACTGGGAATTCCAGGTGCCACAGTGGGGTGCCAGTGACAAAAACTGTCATTGTGTCCTTAGGCAAGACACTTAACCCACATTGCCTAGTGTGAAAGGTGTGTGTGTGTGTGTTTGCGTTGGTGGTGGTCGGAGGGGTCTCTGGCGTAAATTGGCAGCCTCACTTCAGCTGTGGCTACAGTCGTAGTTTACCACCACTGAGTGTTGAGTTAAAAATGAACTGTAAAGCGCTTTGGGGATCTTGAAAGGAGCTATATAAATGCAATGATTAATCATCGCTGAAATATTCCAATTATATTAATTAATTTTATAATTATAATCCAATTTATATTTTTTAACTTAATTTGAACATTTTCTGTAGTAGCATTCCGTAACCATCTTTGAACATTTTTAAATGTATTAATGTACTGACTAGTTGACTAATCGCGAAAAATCATCGCTGACTTTTCAACTTCTACATTAATAATTTGTGACGTTGCAGGAGGGACAATAATAAACTTGACGAAGTAACATTTATACCTCTTGTTAAAAAAAATAAAAAAATTAATGCATTTAACTTATTGGAAAAACATGTAATAGTGTCTTTTTTGTGTTTGAGGATGTGGAGTTCCATAATGCCCAGCAACAAATGCCAAAGACAGCCATTGGCATTTATGCTATCCTGCATGAAGGGGATGATGGTGGAAAGGAAGCAGAGGACGTGGGAATCATCATTGAGGGAGTCACTGTACTGCAAGAACTTCGTGATGTTGCCACTGCCTTCCCTTTGCTCTTTGGACTGATGTATGTGCTCAACTTGAACTACCCACAGGATCTCAAGTACACTTTTGAATTTTTCCAGAAGATGTTGATGGAGCTTGATAACAAAAAAATGTCAAACAAAATTCAAGTTTTAAAAAATAAGCTTCTTGAGTAGATTGGCTTTACCATGATCTAGAACTTTATTATTATTATTATTATTTTAGATGGGCAGCTGTTTTAAGTTTTTACTTTGCACTAGATTTGGGCAGTATTGACAAAAATTAATGTTTTATTTTTTGGTGATCTCAAATGACATTTTATTTACATATATATATATATATATATAAAATATACTAGTGCTAGAATTTTGCACCATATGTTTTGGTTTGGAAAAAAGTTATTTCCTAATATAAATTTTAAAAAAGAAGAAAAATGTGCCCTTTTATACAGATTTTAGTTTTAAAATATCCTGTTAAAATGTTAAAACTGCACAATAAATGCAGAATTGTTTTAAAATGATTTCTGATGCTGTTCTTTGTTGACTTCTGGGAAACTTGACTTGATTTTGTTAGCAATATTTAACAGTGTTGCGTCAAGCGGTTGCATGCAACTGCATTGAGTAAATATGAATGGGCTTTATTCATAATGTTAAATTACTGTAGTAATGTAAGTTCTATATAATGGTATCAATACAAGTTACTTAATCAGTGTGAATTAGGGCTAAGAAGGCAAATTCTTAAGATTTACCTAAGTATGTTGAGTAATTATTATGAAATATATTATAAAGGAATTACGCAATGCAATTATGTATTTTGTATTCTATAAGGTTGAGTAGTAACTATGTAATCAAGATAGCTTGCATATATTTAATCCATCTACATGGATCCTATAGAAGTATGTTAAGTTCATACTATATAAGCATGCTTCACAACAATTACTCAATGTGGTTGCGTGCAACCGCTTGACGCAAGGCTTTTAAGTAAATTTAAAGAATTATTTTTTTGAGTGTAGGTTTGCGTTTGACGTCAGATTAATCGTAAAATTGACCACCAAGACTCTCCTGACTGTGACTCTCTCTGGACCAAAACCCGGGTCTAGGTTCAAGGACGAGTCAAAAGCAGAGACCACATTCTGGGATAAATATCGTTTCGTGAGACTTGGATATCGTCACACTCCTGTTATTGTCCTTCTTCCTACGGGATTTGGCGCATTACAAACGTCACGACCAAACAGCAGCGATTGGTTAAATAAAAAAAAGTACTCGCCTACTGTCGAGCGAACGAATCCTAATGCTGCGAGGTCAGACAGTTTCTATAAAGCCGACGGATGAATCAGGCTACTGGATGACAAAATAATAAACAGCAAAATAAAATAAAAAAAATCACACAAACAAAACACAAACAAATGACACAATTTTGGGCATTTTAGAGCATTTTGATGCTTCTTGGAGGCTGCCGACCCCAATTAAACCTATAAAAGCATCATTAATATCTCCAAAACTAAAGCAGCACAAATGAAACTTTCTGCAGCACAAATGAACCTAGGGATGGGCATGATTAGTCGATTAATCGATAATTGATCATTAAGAATTTCATCGATTACGTACATTTTAATCGACAAACCGAATGTATGTTGCTGTGTGTGTCGTGACCAAACAGGTGTGTACATGTGTCTCTGCATCAGAAGGAGCGAGACACAAACAGTGGGTCAGTCTGTAACGAACCGAAGCACAAATGTGGATTTAACCAGGATTTGTAGAAGAAATTCCACACTTTCCGTTGCGTTGGGACAAGTGTGAGTCCATGTGCACAGTGGATAAAGCAGCACATATGTTTCTGTGTCCAGTGGGAAAAAGTTTTTCCAGGTGAGAGTCGCTCAATGTGGATGACGAGGCCCCGCCCCCCTCCCCCCGTACGCTGTCCTGGTTTTGACAAACACAAATCTGGTCACACTGACCTGTATTCACCTGAGTCATGTCTTTTAATCCAACACAAGTTGAACCACATCAGCGACACAAGAGCTGGAGTTTTATCTTCACTTAGTTTATGTAAATTAGTGATGTGGTTTTAAGTTTTGTTTCTGTGAGATTTGAACAAAACTGAATTAAACACATTATAATGTCAAACAGCTGATGTGGATCTAGAGTCGTTACGGTTTATTTGTCGTAAAGTTGAATTTATTTATGCAGATTAGTGCAGATAGTAATAATAATGATGATCATTTTAATATAAAAACGTTAATGATTAATCAATAATCGATCGTTAATTCTCTTGACGATCGATTAAGAAAATTTCATCGAATGCCCGTCCCTAAATGAAACACAAATAATCAAAGTTTTTTTTTTTGTGTAGGTTTGTGTTTGAGGTCAGATTAATCATAAAATCAACCACCAAGACTCTCCTGACTGTGACTCTTACTGAACCAAAACCTGGTCTAGGTTCAAGGACGAGTCAAAAGCAGAGACCAAATGCCGCGAGGTCAGACGGTTTCTACAAAGTGAAACCGGCTCAAGAATCAGACTACTGGATGACAAAATAATAAACAGCAAAATAAAATAAAAAAATCCCACAAACAAAACACAAACAAATGACACGATTTTGAGAGTTTTAGAGCATTTTGAAGCTTCCTTGGGGCTGACTGACCCCAATTTGATCTGTAAAAGGTCGTTAATATCTCCAAAACTAAAGCAACACAAACGAAGCACAAACAATCAACCACCAAGACTCTCCTGACTGTGACTCTTACTGAACCAAAACCTGGTCTAGGTTCAATCCAGTCCAATCCACTTTATTTCTATAGCACATTTCACAAACAAACTGTTTCCAAACTCCTGCACAAATACATAAAAAATAACAACAATAAGATGATAAAGTAAATTACTAAAATAATACTAGTCTTAAAGTAATAAAACTAGTAAAATAATATAAAACCAGTAAAATAAAAATAAAACTATATCATAGAATAGAAATAAATAAACCAATAAATAAATTAAATCAGTAAAACCAATAAAAACACATAAAAATAAATAAAAGACACAGAGGCACACAACTCACGCGGTGTTAAAAGCCAGAGAATAAAAGTGGGTCTTCAGACGAGATTTAAAACTCTCCACTGTTGATCGTTCCAGAGTTTAGGGTCGACCACAGAGAAGCTCCTGTCCTCCTGGTTTCAAGTCTCGTCTTAGGCCCTGAGCTGGAGCTGGACCTCAGACCTCAGGGGTATAAATTTGGATGAGGTCCGAGACGTACTGTGGAGCCAGTCCATTCAAAGCTTTAAAAACAAACAATAAAATCTTAAAATCAATTCTAAAATTAACAGGAAGCCAGTGCAAAGATGCAAGGATTGGGGTGATGTGCTCTTCTCTCCTTTTTGTTCCTGTTAAAAGTCGCGCTGCAGAGTTTTGGACGAACTGTAGTCGGTAAAGTGCGTTTTGCGAAATGCCGGAATAAAGTTGCATTACAGTCGTCCAGGCGCGATGAAATAAAAGCCTGTATAACTTGTTCAAATAGTTTAAAGCAGCGGTGTCAAACTCATTTTGGTCCGGGGGTCGTATCCAACCTGCTTTGATCCCAAAGGGCCGGATCAGAAAACTCATGTCATATAAACCCCAAAAATAACAAATAAGTTCAAATATTTGTGCAGAGAGAAACACAAATCTATTACAGAAATCTTTTTTTAATTGATGAACTTCTTTCTTTACAAAATATTATAATATTATGAACAACCTGAAACTTTAAGAAAAATGCAATTTCAACACAAAGTGCTTTAACATGAACTTGTATGTAAACAGGAATAAGTCAAATTTTTTTGGGTAAAATCCTGCACTCGGCTCCACTTTTCTCATGTTGGACATTTTTCTGATGAGGGTGTCACGGTCAACAGTCAAAACGATCGTCCTTTAAGAGCGTTTGGAAAGAGACAAGTCTTCATTTGTGCTGCTCTGGTGGGAGGGGCCACGTACAGAGACGCTGGAGACGCTGCTGTGATAAACACACAGAAAAATAACAATATTTTAAAAGAAAAATATAATTAAAATATTTTAGTAGAAAATCAGCAGAGGGCCACATTAAAGGTCTTGGAGGGCCGGATCCGGCCCTCGGGCCTTATGTTTGACACCTGTGGTTTAAAGGATAAAAAAGGTTTAACTTTAGATAAAAGCCGCAAATGATAAAAACTTGATTTTAAAACATTGTTAATCTGTTTATCAAATTTAAAATCAGTGTCTAAGACGACGCCGAGGCTGGTGACTGTGGGACGAACATGATTTTTGAGGAATCCCACATTAGTGAAGAACTGTTCAAGGACGAGTCAAAAGCAGAGAAAACATTCTGGGAAAACTGAGTCTCCCCTAAATGATCATCACCCCCCAAAACCGTCCGCCGCACGTTTACGGCAGATACTCCGTCTGCGGTCGCGAGTTTATCTAAAAGATTACAGCGCGAGCGTCTGCGGCCGGAGTTACACGACTGTTAAAAGGAGATGTAAACAACAAAGCCATCTGGTTTCTCTCTGATCACGCTGCCTCTGATTACTCACATCGCAGTTTGCAGCCCGACACTTAAAGCGAACCTGTTCTGCCAAATCCACTTTTTATCAGAGCTTTAATCCACGTTACAGTTGTTTCCCCCTCAGCATCGACTCGCCCGGCGTCGCGTTTGAAGCGATTTGCGCAAGTCTGAGATTTTTAATCACTTGTTTTCTTCATTACGACACATCGCCCCCATTTTCACCTTGTTTTTCCTCCAAGATTCGAGCAGAAAGAACAGAGAACGTGAAAATCCTCTGTCAAAACCATAGACTGGATTTATAAATGGACATAGAGATTTTCAGTAACCGCAGCGTTCCAAAGAGGAAGATCGAATGCGGCTTTTCCGGAATCAGTGTGTCGTTCGTTCATTTGTTTTTCAATATAAAACCGAAAATAAGAAAATGAAAACCAAAATGAAAAAACAGATAACGATTTGTTTTTTTAGATTTCGATTTTGTGTTTAAATAAAAAATGGAAAAAACCGATAACGGACGTTTCCCGTTTACGTGACTCCCGTGACTGCGATGCCGGACTGAATCAGGACTAAAAAAAAGACTAAACCGCTTTCAGTCCTGGTCTGGTCCCAGTCTCAGTTCTGGTCTGGTCCTGGTTTGGTCCCAGTCTGGTCCCGGTCTCAGTCCTGGTACAGTCCCGGTCCCTGTCTCGGTCTCAATCACGATCTTGTCCCGGTCTCAGTCCCGGTCTGGTCCCAGTCTGGTCCCAGCCTGGGCTTGGTCTCAGTCCTGGTCTCAGTCCCGGCCTGGTCATGGTCCTGGTCCCGTATTCAGACTACGTAAACGTACTTAAAGTCGTACCGTGGAACATTCCAGAGAAAGCAATAATATCTCCATGGAGACAAGCAGGGAGCGGTAAAGTTTCTCCACCAGAAAAGTTGCAGAGTGCAGCTTTAACTTTTCCAGATAAAGTTGTCGTCTGTGTCCTTGTTGTGCTGCAAATGGCCAAATAAATTATTACAACGAGCGGCTCTGAGCAAGAAAAAACTCACACAGAGACGGACTAAACCAGGACTAAACCAGGACTAAACCAGGACTAAACCAGGACTAAACAGGACTAAAGCAGGACTAAAGCAGGACTAAACCAGGACTAAAACAGGACTAAACCAGGACTAAAGCAGGACTAAACCAGGACTAAACCAGGACTAAACCAGGACTAAACCAGGACTAAACCAGGACTAAAGCAGGACTAAACCAGGACTAAACCAGGACTAAACCAGGACTAAACCAGGACTAAACCAGGACTAAACCAGGACTAAACCAGGACTAAACCAGGACTAAACCAGGACTAAACCAGGACTAAACCAGGACTAAACCAGGACTAAACCAGGACAAAACCAGGACTAAACCAGGACTAAACCAGGACTAAACCAGGACTAAACCAGGACTACTAAACAGGACTAACCAGGACTAAAACCAGGACTAAACCAGGGCTAAAACAGGACTACTACTACTACTACT